TATATATATATATATATATATATATATATATATATATATATATATATATATATATATATATATATATATATATATATATATATATATATATATATAAATGATGGTCTATCGTTGGATTTGAATAATAATATTGATTGGTTTGAATAAAATCCTATCGTTGGATTTGAATAATAATATTGATTGGTTTGAATAAAATCCTAACTTTATCTCATATACCATTCAATATTACTCTTGAACCATACTGCAACAGAACATCATCCGTTTGAATCTGTCAACTTGCTAATTATTTAATTAAACAATACTTGATTTTTAGTGGTAAAGAAATTTCATTTGTTTCTCAAATCTCCAGTTTTTCCATTAATTTTAATTTCTAAATTCTGATTACACCATTAATATTTCACTTATCAAAACATGAAAAAGAAAAACCAGAAAGAGAAGTAGTTTTCAGTGTCTCGGGAAGGAAATCAAAACAGAAAGAAAAAATTGCCGCTGTCATTTTGGTGTTGCGTACTTTAATAAATTATTCACATTAAATTTTTTTATCTTTTCACAACATCTCGGTATATTTTCATATCTTCTCTTATTATAAGGTGGTAAAAATATCTGAAAATTTTTTCAAAAATATTTTTGTATTCCTTTTGTTGGGGGAATTTTTAGCTGAGCTAACAAGCATTTACTATGCGTCCGTGTGTGTTTTTTTAAATTATTGAAATTTTTAAACTTAAATACATGTCTATCAATGTTAATCAGTATTTTCCTTGTATATTTAACATTTCTGGTAATTTAATTTTATTATAAATGTAATATCAACAGTCAGAAGATGCAAATGATGTGATAAAAACAAAAATGACTGATGAAAAGGTCACATGAAAATTTGTTATTTATTCTTGTCGTTTGCATCGTTCATTTTTTCTTCTTTCAGATAATTCCCGAAAAAAATTTCTTCCCTCTTTTTTCTTCTGCAGTTGTGCTTGCTATTCTAACTTTTTTTTACCTTTAACCTTTACCCTTAAAATGATCCCTTAGAATAATATTTCAAGTGATATTTTAACTATAAGAGTTTCTTCTTCCTTTTATTTTTTCATTCATCAAAATTGCACTTCAAATTCATTACATGTATTTGATGCAAAAAATCGCGGAAATAATTGAGCAGATGATGTTAGAGGCGGCAAAGGAGATGATAGCAAAATGTGAACTGGTTATGCCGGTGTAATTCGATAGATTCTCACATGAAATTTCGAATATTTTTGAAGAAACAAAAAGCTTTTCAGAGTGTCATAATGAAGGAAAGCGAGATGGAAGGAAGGAAAAAAGATGCTAAAGGTAATGATATGCAATATGTACCGGTAGTTGATGGTGGCTGGGGATGGATTGTTGTTATTGGCTCATTTTTCATCCACGTTTTTGCTGATGGTATCGTTTATTCATTTGGCATTCTTCTCGAAATTATCATGAAGGTTTAATTTAGTTTTTTTTCCAAATAAAAGTTTTTAAAACACAGAAAGTTCCTTGATAACGACAAATTTGATGATCTTTTTAATCATTTTGGCTGTCTTTTAAACCGTTTCCTATTAAATTTTTAAGTGATATTGGCTAATTCGAAATTCCGAAACACTTTCTATACCTTACGTAACTTTCAGGAATTTAATGCAAGTAATGCTAAGGCATCGGTGATAATTTCATTATTAACAGGCTTAACCCTCGGAATGGGACCTATAGCAAGTGCAATAACAAATAAGTTTGGATGTCGGGTGACAACAATTCTAGGATCATTAATTGCAGCTACAGGGTTTGTCGTTTTGACAATCAAATTTGATAAACTATTCTTTTCCTTATTTTTTCTCTTTCATTCTTTTTTAAATAGAAGATAGCAGATTTTAGGAAAGGAGAGAGGGAAGTGTGAGTTAAAGCGGAGAAATTAAATTAAAGATAATCTGGAATTAGCGGAGAATTAAAGATAATCTGCTCTTCAATTCTCTTTCCTCAGTCCATCCATCAAATCCAGCCTTGATTGTCAGGCCTTAATTGAGACCGTCACTGCACTGTACATATAAGTATATCAGTGTAATAGTAAGCAAAATTTTGCGAATGACAATAATTCTCAAATCACTGATTGCAATCACGAAAAATAATTCATTGTTGTCCATGAAAGCATTCATTGTTACCGATAATTGCTCACAACAATTTCCTATGCTTTCACTGGAAAAATGAAATCCAAAGAATGCCAAAAAATTTCAGTTTACATCATCTTCTCTCCTTATAATTCAAAACTAATTCTATTCTATCTTATCCTATTATATGTACTCCTGGAAAAGAACTATTTGATAACCTCTTTTCTTTCAACCTTAGTTAATAACTTATACTTTTAATTAATGACTAGTGATAAGATAGAATAATTTCCAATGATTAAATTTTATAAAAGAATGATTGCCATGGACGGAAGATACGTGTTACGTATCATTATTTCAGCTGTGGTGCTTCATACTATGCAACTTCAGTAGAATATCTGATGGTTTCGGTGGGTTGTGTGATGGGTATGGGTTTTGGTTTGATGTATTGTCCGGCTATTGTTATCGTTACTATGTATTTCGAAAAGAAAAGGTTCGTTTACTTCATTTCAAGTTGTATAATTACAGCAAATTTTTGTTGTAATATTCGAAAAAGCTTGCTTATTCCCTTTCATTTTTTACAGCTGAATTATTAAAGAATTGCTTGAATAATATAGCAGTTGATCGATAATTAAATGTAATTAGATAAATAAGTTATTCAGTCTTCCAATGAATGATTGCCACTATTCCATACCATGATCCGGAAACGGATTTATTCAGCTTATTGAGTTCTTTTTATTTTTTCATTTTTTGCTTTTCAGAGCTATGGCTACCGGTATAGCAGTATGTGGTGCTGGTGTTGGTACCGTCCTATTTGCACCAATCAGTGAGGCACTCATCAAAGTTTCCTGGAGAACGGTTTTCGTCGTTTATACAGGTGGGCCGTGGTTCGCTTTCAATAATTTTGCGTCATTCATTCATTCAAAAAGTGCCATTTATATTTATTTCTTCCTTTTTTTATTATTATCGATTTCCTTTGATATTACTTTTGACATTTATTCAAAAATGATGTTAGCAAGTCTTGCAGTAATTGTATTAATGTGTTCCCTATGTGGTGCCACTTTCCGACCGTTAACATTTGTTGCTGTCGAAGATGAAACGAGAAAGAAGAAGGTCCTCAAGGAAGATAAGAAAAATGGATTCGTAGAAATGGTGCATCAGGACTTTATTTTCATTGTACTTTCTTATTCTACATAGCAAAATTGTTATATTAGCGTATCAAACATCCTATAAAGTGGTTCTAGCAAGTACTATTTAGAATATTTTTAATACTACTGATGACCATTATGATGATGTAATATTTTGTTATAAATAGTTATAAATAGGATGAAGAAAATGGGCCTTTATCAGCGACGTTGCTTTCTCCACAAAACCAACAAAATATTAATGATACCGAGGAAAAGAATGGAAAATTGGAACGATCGGAATCATTGACGAGAGATATTTCACGGCGACGAAGTCGAGGAGTTTCAGAATCTACGGGTTTTATCACTGTTCAAGTATGCTACTATCTCGTTTTTTTTTTCTTGATTTTGAATCCCATTAATGATATTTAAAATTTCGACGTATCATTTCATGCCCTAATTATCCCACTGCTTGTTCGTAAAAGGAACGTATAATTGGTATTTAATAGTTGTTACCCGTGCTATCAGCGAAATTAAGACTATGGTTCTCATTCGTTACATACGACAACAACGGAATGTTTCAAGTTAATTGCCATTATATTAGCCATTCTTTTTTTTTATTCAGGACGTGTTCTACACAGGTTCAATGAGCGAATTACCACAAGTTGAATTGCACCGATCGCTTGCATCGCTCAATATGAAAGATGATAAGCTGAAAAGCTCGGAAGAGATGGTGATGAATCGGGAAGAAGAGGAGAAAGTTAACAAAGCAAGAGAAATTTGGAGGTGTGTTTCAAATGATTTTTCGATTTTTACTCAAAACGTTGGATTGATGTAAGACAAGTGGACATAAAGGTATCGGAAGAGTTTGCCTAAAACTGCTAACAATTACAAATATTGCTGATATCACTTTATGGTTCTATATCAGGTTAAGAGAGAGTAGGAGGGAAAAATAAATCGTAAATTTAAGATTTGTTACAATTAATTTTCTGGAGGCAATGATAAGACCAATTCGCGTTACACCTAATATTCAGCAGATCCAGCCCCCTTTTCTCCTCTGTATGACGGATGTATCTACAGGCTATCGAAAATACTTCCGGAAATCTTGAAGTCAGGAACTAAGCTTTTTTCTCTAATTTATATTGAATATAAAATTTCTCTAATTTTTAGAGCAGTCTAAATTACATCTATATTATTCGCTAATTCTTGAATATCTTAGCAATTTAAATTCTTTTTTGAGGACTGAAGTTGACTATCGAGGTCATTTTGATTCTGTGATTAAGTCATGATCCGATTGGTCAAAGATCACTTGCGCGACATTTTTTTATCAATGTTTTCGATTATGCCATAAATACACAGTGTAAAAGTACTTGTAACTACAGTATATTATCTTTGTCATTGTTAGGACAGTGGAGAAAATGACAGATATCTCGTTGCTTGCCAATCCAATATTTCTACTTTATGCAATTTCAAATCTGTTGACAAGCATCGCATTTAATGCTCCACTTGTTTTCTTGCCATCGCATGCAACCAATCTTGGTCTAACCCCTGCACAATCTGCAAGCGTTATTAGTGTATTTGGTAAGTGCACGTTTGGACTCAACTTGCTCTGCAAAGCTTGGACCTATATTTCAATCAAATCTTAACAAATGAGTTTATGAAATGTCAGGTTGATACAAGGTAAGATCAGAAGCGTAGGTTAACTCTTAATTTAATTGTAGCTTGCATCATTACGCCCAAGTTTACACTACTTATCATTGAGAGAAAAAATTAGTTCGATCAAATTCCTAGCATACGATTTGTTTCTGTCAAAATTTCCATATAATCTCAATCATTTCTTATCATAATTAATCTTAATTCAATGAAATTTTAGGTATAAAATCAGAGGCTGTAGATTTTCATGTAGATAGGGATAAAATCATAAAAAAGCATAGTATAATAAAATGGATGAGAACATAACAATATGGAAAAGAACAGAATGGAATTCTCTTTGAACATTGTTGTATTTTGCATTAGATTCCAGATTTTCAGAATTTTCCACTCTTTCAGGTGTCATGAATACAGTTGGACGAATTTTGGTTGGATTAATATCTGATCGTAAATTGCCGTGCCGATATGGGAAAAATACAGCACGAAATAGGTTATGGACCTATGTATCGTCGTTGAGTTTATGTGGTTTATTAACGGCCGGTGTACTTTTTTGCAATGGCTATATAACTTTAGCTGTAAGTTTGAGGACTTAAATGAATGACCGCAAAATATCCGGAAAGCCATCAGCTTATCCACTTCTTACGAAGTTTTCTGGGTTGGATGAAATGACTGTACGCCAAAAAGGAATGCAGTGATCAATGATAAAATTTTATAACTCATTAAACCCTTCGAAATTCAATTCACACTGCTTAACGCTAATTGACTAACATGAAGTAATTAAGTGCTTGCTTCTTTCCTTGAAGTACGCAGGACGAATTAAGGTAATAATTTGAATGAAAGGAAGGGAGCGAAGATAATTACCAAAGCTTAGATTAACTATAAATGCTTTTGTGGTTCATTCAATGATGCATAATAAAGTTCATATCCTCCTGCAGATGTACTCCGGTTTATTTGGATTAACGCTATCATCCTACGTATGCCTTACATCAGTATTGCTCGTCGACTTAATTGGTATTGAGAAATTGACCAATGCATTTGGCTTAATTTTACTCTTCCAAGGTATTGGTACCGTTATAGGACCTCCTATATCTGGTAAGAATTTTGAAAAATTTAAAATTATTGAATTATCATGAAATGCATCTTGATTATCACTCAGTGCAAGGATTTCGGCATGAAAAGTCAAGGGTACTGAAATTTTAAAACGAATTCCATACCTGCAATATTGTGTCCACTCATTTAACATCGAAGCGTTTTAATCACTGTTTCGTATCCATAGCAGTACCATATAGCAGTGAATGATGTTAGTACGAAATGACCTCATACAGAGCATCACCATTAATCAAAATATGAAATTAAAAATTCATCTTTTGGACTGAAGAATGGGTTCTTATATCAATAAAAATGTTTTCCAGGACAACTAGCTGACTTAACTGGTTCCTATAACATGTCATTTGTCTTCTGTGGCGTAGCGCTTCTGATATCAGGTTTGATGTTAGTATGTGTACCGCAAATGCAACGGAAGCGAACAGTATCTGCTGCTTAATCGTTACGAGTGGATATGAATGTCATAACAATTTCCGTGAAAATTATCCGTCCTAATAATATCGTCATTCTGACCTTCCTTAAACCTTGTGTTTTCCTGACCAAAGATTTGTCGTCTTCAATACGTCTAAATACCGTTTGCTTCCTCGACACTACGTTTATCAATAAATAACGTTCACGTGTAATTAAGGATATGGAATGATACATCCGTTCTTCTCATCATCATTCCAGATAATATTGTTGATCTTGCTTATCTTTGCATTTACCTAAACTGTACTGTCTCTAAACAAAGTATTAGCTAAGACTATAAACCATGTTGTTATCTTTATTGATGGAAAAGAAAAAGGAAACGAAATCAATTGACATTATCTTTTCTCTCTTTTGCAATCAATTAATGGTTGTAATTTGGCCAAATTATTTCCAGAGTATCAAGAAGAGTCCAAACTGATAATGTGATAAATCTGAAGTAACAAGTCAGAGAGAAAGGAATAGACAGAAACAGCATTGGCTGCTTTATTGAGAAATATCGTCAAATGATATCCCATTTCAAGAGAAAACTTCTAAAAAACTACCGTCCTGAATTAAAAGTCGTGCTGCAAGATGTACCCATTTTCTAATGTTCAAAAGCACCATATTTTGAAATTGTGGGAATTATTACATTTTGGTACGAAATTTGCTATTATAGTAACAGTAAAAAGAAGTAATACTAGTGGTTATAATGCTGGTAATATGATAAATCGAGATCTACGCACTAAATTAAGTCTTGCAAAGTGTAATTGAAAAAACTGCGCGAGAACTGTGCGTCATCGTAAGTCTTCGAGAATATAATAGACCGATATTTTCGATATTTATTTAAATTCTTACAAACTATCATATGTCATTTGAGCATCATTTAAAGCTTTAATGACCATGACAAAATGGCATTTGCGCCTTTTATACCTTCTGTATTTTTTACTTCTACTATGGATGCGATAGCAGCTAGTGATAAGGATAGATGTCGTACAATCCTTCATCGGAGAAGGTTGCAAAAATTAGCCTCTTCCTAACAAATGAATAAATCGAATGTGGTGCTGCAACAGCTGCTGTGAAACCTGAGATAGCAACTTGACACCGTAAACGTGGCTGCCCGGTTAGTTACATACATATCGTATATTTATATGTACATATGTGTGTGCGTGTGTCTGTACGTGTGTGTACATGTGTGTACGTGTGTGTACGTGTATGTGCGTGTATGAATATGCGTATATGTGTTGTGTTATTTTTGTTGGTTGGATTAGGGTTTTAATTTTAGCCGAGGGGTGTTAATGGCGGGGGTTTTGTTAGGTAGCAGACACATATAAGGATACTTTTATTTCAGATCTATCGCAAGTTTTGCTTTTGAATTTCGAAAATTTTTTCAAATTTAAATTTAAAATTTCGGAAAGTTTTAGTGTTGCGTTTACTTTTTTTCCTTTTTGTATCCATAACGGACGCATTCTGCATAGGTTAGATATTTTAGCATTTATGGGTGTGCAAAAATTGTCAGTGTATTAATTTTGAGGAGGCTTTTTTGTCAATCATTTTATACGTGAATGTTATCAAGAGTTATATGTACTGGTTAAAAATTATCACTAACGGTATGTGCTACCGCCGAATCATCAAGTAAGTAATAACTTCGTTTATTTTAGAAGCATTTGTGATAAAATTGGAGGATACCAATTAACAATTTGTTATTTAGATCTTTTTTTTTTTACAATGGAAGTCATTTTACTAAAGAATAACCAAAATATTTCTGACATCGAAATTATTTGAATCATGCTGCATTCCCGGTGTTAAAAACTATGAGGTAAAAATATGTTGTGTATGGTCATCTTTAAGATCTAACCGTTACGGATGGTACATTGAAAAGTTGAACCATTTGCGTATTAGACTCATAAGGGCAGATAGCTTGCACAGTAAGATCTAATGGTCAAGTGGTTTGCAGAGTAATTGTAAAAAGAGAGTAGTTGTCATGTTTGCTATATAATGATAAATTAATTCAAAAAATGCAATAACTATTCGTGACTGTATTACGTTCTTTCCTTTTAATAAACTCTTTTTCTGCCATAAAGAGGATAAAATTTTATTTCAGCGCTGGGTACTATTACATTTGTCGTTCCAAGGATTTGAGAACTAGTAGGCGAAGTTTTGCTTGGAAATGGGTGGCGGTCGTCGACGTCGTATTGAACGATCCTCTAGTAGTATTGATCGTCGTTACAAACGGCCTCGTAATAGTTCGGAACGACATCGACGGAATGAATCACGCAATCGGCGTGCCCGTAGACGGTCGTGGAATAAAAAAAATTCCGATCATTTCGTAAGTTTTTTTTGTGTTTTGGAAATATACTGAAATTTTCAGGCTTATGATTTAGCAGTAATCTGTAGAAATCACCCAGCAAAAGCTTGTATAATCTCTCCACAGCCACCTGCATTACTGATCAACATTTTGAAGTGCCGGACTGATAAACTGTTATAGAATTCAGGACACCAGTCTTCATTTTCTATCTCACTATTCCGTGAGGAAAACAATGTATTTCAATATCCTAAACTTCATTTTGCATTTTAGCATATTGTAATACACGTTTCAAATACTGTAAGATTTATGCTTATGTTTCGCACAGCAACTAAGGTAATTAATTAGTCGGAAGAGTTTTTCCTCACACAGTGTGAGAAAGACATTCGTTGAGGACTTTTTGTGTTAACTTTTGCATTGTATTGGGGACTTCTTTTTTTTTTTTACTGTGAGTAGACATTTGAAAAAGAAGTAAAGAGGCAATCGTGTTATTGTATCAGCATATATTAACGATTTTGGACTCAAATTATGATACTTTTAAAGTGCGCGTGTTGTGATGATTATTGGTCTTATTCGAGAACCAATATTTTGTAGTTTTAGAATGAAACAACATGAGGACCATAACATCATATCAGGGCTCCTTCAACGTTTTCAAATTATCATTTTAGGAAGTTCCATGTAATATTGAATGTAGTCACTGTTGAGATTTATTCGGTACGATTATGTCATTAGATCTTTGTTCAGAGGGTTTTTGCTATACATTCCTTAAACATTTTATACAAAGCTGTTAAAAACCTAACAGTCGGAAAGAATAATAATAATGATTATAAGTTTTGTACCGAATAATTTCCTCATAGTGAACTATTTTGTTCCAATGACGTAGTAATGTTGATATCAAAGTAAGTGTGGACGTTAGAGTTAAAATGAAAATTCAATAAAGGTTACACATATTTTAACGCCTGTAGTAACCACAAAAATACCGCAAAAAAGAAAAGTAATAATGAGCTGCGCTTCATATAGTTGGTTTTCTCCTACTTCCAGATGTCTGAAAAATGTCATCTGAATTTGATCTAATTAAGACATCTTACCGAACACATTTCTGTAGTATTTCTTTTTCCAGAAATTTTTCCCAGTTATAGAGAGATGTATAATTTTATTATACTTGTGGGATTCAGTGCAATTTTTGTAATACCTGTGTAAACATATAGTGTAGTTGCGAGAGAAATTACACCTTAAAAAATGAAATCCACAATAATTCAAACGAAGTTTAGCAGAATAACAATATTTTTTCCGAGCATAATTATCATGTTGTGATTTGTCTAGAGAACTACAAGTAATCAATGTTAAGTTTAGCATTTCTTTTTTAGTTCAACCATAGTTGATATTTCAGATCTTTTGATCATCAAGAAGAGCGGCAATCCCATTCCCGCCTCACTAAGTTTCAGCATAATATACTGTGACAGAGAGAAAGAGAGAGAAAGGTGTGAAGGACTTGCTGTATGTGACAAATTGTGTTTGTCACTGTTTCTTCTGTAAACCATTTAGTATCCTACTAACAGCGTCAACTAATCAACCTGAAATGATCAGCGTTTAAAATATCGGTTAGTATGCAGCAGATCTCTGACGTCAAACGCCGTAGTTCGGTATAGTTCGATACTTTTGTGTTATGTTGATAGTTTTCTGATTCATCATATGAAATACGGGTATCACTTTTTTGAACCAATTTGCTGGAATGATTTAGTACCATTTTCTCATTTCGCCGAGTTAACTACCGGGAAAGTGAGTGATATATCATTAAAATGAATGGTTGAAGAATAGAAGACTGATTTTCTACAATAATGTTTTTCCTTTATTATCACAACGGATGGAACATAAAATTGAATGTTTGAATAGTTCCAGCATTCTTGATTGCTGGAAAAATCAAAAGTGTAAGGAGAGTGGTTAAAAAGAGATAATTAGGTATAATATTTTTTTGTTGAGGACTTATAACATTTTGCACAGGATTAACTGTTTGATTACAGTTTCATTACATCGTAGTTTCATTGTGGTTTCATTACAGTTCATTTCATTGTAATTTCATTACAGTTAATTTTTTAATGTATCAAATAATATTGTAGCGCAAGTATTTAGTGACAAAATTAATTCAATTGATATTACGTAAATTAAAGGTTTTATCAAGCAGTTTGTTTATAATTTACATTTGATGAAAGAGCGAGCCACAAATTGAAAACTTACGATAGCAGATTTTGGGATATTTGCAAAAAAACGGAAAAATGTTTTTGCTATACATATCTGTTTTAATAGCCGTGATTTTTCCTAAAATAATCGTTCCAGCCGATTTGATCTAAAGCATAAGTTTGAAAAATAAAGCCACCTTTCTTTACTTAAATATTTGAAAAAAAAGGATTCAAGACAGATTTTTTGATGATCGGAATGACGAAGAGAGAATTATCTGGAGTTTCGAGTTTTTTTCTTGTAACAAGTGCAAAGGAAGAATCAAGCTCAGCAGTTTTTTCTTCTTTTTTTTCTTCTCATTTCCATTGCAACCACGAAAGTGCCAAGTTAGAAACATGGAGACGAGAATCCAAAAATATGGATGTGAGACTTATTTTAATATCTCAGTTTAATTTTTTTTTTTCACAAATGATTCATTCTTGTAACCGTCGCTAAATGATTTCCACTATTGAAATTCGTCGTTACTGTTATGGTGAGAAGCTGATGGAAAGCTCGTAGTCTTTCATCCTCATGTGTATGTTTGCTTTATTGTGCATTTATATCCGTGATTGGAATTTTATCATTAAAATGCTAATTGTTATGATTGCACGGATGATCATTAGTTGATGATCATACTGAAGAATGATTTTAATATTAGCTTAATGTTGTTTTCCTAAAGTCAGTTTTTTTGGGATGTCACAATTAGGCAAATATCCAAACAAAAATAACGTTTGACTATTTTTGGACTTTGATACGAATGATGACTAGTTTTGTGGTACCTTAACAGCTGTACCGGTAAATATGGGATTAGCAACAGAAAAGGAATTTGTATCATTTTGCATGTTTGAAGCTTGTAAGATAATGTGTTGCTGCTGGACTTTGATTGCAAGCGAACATGATTCCATGTATCTAAAATAGTAGAAATATGGAATCATAGAATATCTAGGACAAGTTCTATAGAAATACGTAGTGATTATATGTCATCAAAAAAAGGGTCGTGAGCAGACTAAAAAAGAGACTGTAGATTTTTGGATATCATAATTCCCGGAAATTTATTTGATTTTGAGGACAGGAAGGAATTTGGTTGATGAAGAAATTTCAGTTTTCAAGATGATTTGATTTTGATGGGTAATAAATAGTTAGTTGTTCATTGGAAATAGAATAATAACATCATTTTAACTTGTTTTTGCTTCGTTTTTTGTTTCAACATTGCTCGAATGTATGACTTTAGTTTCAATATTCTATAAGCTCCAGTTACTGAAAACCACTGTTATATTGAGATGCTGCGTGTTATTGCACCCAAGTGCTATCGTGATGTGAAACGTGTAATGTGGGAAAGTTTTCAGTGAGTAAAATGTTTCATGTCTAACTCACGTTTTTTCATCTTTCAAACCATTTCACTGATGCTTTCCATACTTTTCTGCCGTTCCAAATAACTAAATATCGAAATACTGCGTGAATTTAAAACGTTGTTAGTAATTAACTTGTTTTGCCTTTCAAAAACTGACACAAATACTTTGCTCCTTTTTTGTATTAGCGTTGTTTCTTCCTTTTAGTCCTTTTTGTCCTTTATAGGTCATCGTTTTCGGACTGTTATTTCTTCTCAGTATTTCTTTGTAATAGAATATTTACCAATTTTTTAACTTTTGCAAAAATTCTTTTGTAACACATCTTTGTCATCCATTTTCTTAATTTTTGCTTCTGGCGAGGAAGAGCGAGAAAGAAAATGGAGAGAAATTAGTTCACATATGAAAAGATTTAGAGAAAGATCGCTTTATGAACATGTGTTCGATAAAATAGATAACACCAAGATAAAGATTAAAGGGAATTAAGTAGAATACCGCTAATATTTCATAAGATTAGCAATAAATTCGTTTGTAATTAAATGCAGTGAATTTTTCGTGATCTCAAGGCTGATTTCAAATAAAATTTTTCTGTCACGAAAATCTTTCGAAAACTGCTGATGATGTCAGCCATAGAAACCCTTATCTTTAATCTTTCAAGTACTTAGATTGTGCCTTGGTTAAACATTATGAGGAAACAGATTAATTCAAAATAAAATGGCATTTTAATGTCAACTTTTCAGTATTTATTATCTACCGTTTAATTTTTGTTATTTATATATATATGATTTGTGCACAAATAAATCTTCGAAATTTTTGAAATATGGTAAGGGAGAAAGGGGGAAAAAAATCAGGGGAATGTTGCATTTTGGCTAAATGGACGGAACGTCGAAGGAAATGAATCTCAGAAAATGGTGTTTGTGCATTTAGGTATCTCAAGAGATAGATGCTTTCTTGGAGCTTGAAGTGGAAATAAAATTGAAGTTGGAGAAAACAACGGAACTAGTAAGAAATAAAGGTTATCATCGGCTTCGGCGTGTTCGGGATGTTCGAAGTAGGGAGTTGGAAAAGAGGAAGGAGGGTGGGAGTGATGCATAACAGATTGTTGAGGAAAAAGCAACAAATTTTGTGGGATGGGCTGAGCATCTACCACCGTACATCACATCCCGTAAGCGTTATGCAGTTAGCAGCATTAAGCAGCCGTCCATCATCGTCATCCGGAGCTTTACCAGAATTTCGAGCGCTGAAAGTTAGAAAGCTAAGAGAAACGCGGCTGTCATATCTAATGAGGACTTCCCTTTATTCTTGATTCGAAGCAACAATTTCCCTGAGCAACAGCAATAGTAGGTGCAGCAATTTCATTCTTCCTGTTCTTTGCTTACTAAACCCATCGACGTACCGACCAGTCAACAAACTGAACTACTGACTCCGTACTCTTGGTTTTACATTATCTTTGAAATCAGCTCTTGTTGCTGGCATATTTTTGTTTGAACCATCACTTTGTGGTATTGGGCGCTATGTGCATACCGCTCTAATTCTATACTGGTGTAACTACTGGTAATTCCATCATTACCTTGCTATCTTATCCGTACCATTGTCATTATCATCAGCAATTTGGTCTGTGAGAAATTTGGTTGAATTACATCATGGAAGAGGCTAATTCTGGATAATTTTCTACTGGAAAATTAGTGCTGTGACATTGGTATTATTGCATTCGCTATTGTTTGTGGTGGTGGTGGTGGTGGTGGCGGTGGTGGCGGTAGCGGTGGCGGTAGCGGTAGCGGTAGTGGTAGTGGTAGTGGTTTTATCCTTAAACAGCCAATATTTCATCCTTCCAGCTTCTACCCCCGTTGGCCCCTTCCAAGTGGGTCCAAACACCACCAAATTCACCGACAGTAACTGCCGTGTTCCCGCAATATCCGCTGAATGGCTCTTGTCATTTGACACAGCTCAAGCAACCGGTTAATTATCTTACGAAGTCAAAATTTGGGAAATTATCCAGTTCGTTGGATTTGTCAGCTCATACTCCTGTAATTAAGCATTATTACTCGCATCGGATCCCGCAACACGCCACTTTGGTACCGTCACCGATTCATCATCAAACTTCATTTCATTCTTCCATTCTACTTTCTTCATCCATATCTCCATCGTTACATTCGAGTCCATCGCCACATCCCTTCCGTGTTATCAACGGACTATTGTCTAAGTCACCGAAACAATATAGCATAAAAATGCCACGTCGTGGTTTTGACAGTATACGGCGATTGCCGATTGTGGTGATTCCACGAAAGAGGAAATATAAAAATTACGTGTCTAGAAGGCGTAATACGCAACTTTTTGCTAGTCTGCGTCGCTGTTTCTCCGACCCAATATTATATCGAAGTTACAATCATTGGGAAGGTCTATCAAGGCCATTTTCTCCAGAAAAACTACCATCATTTGCACCTTTTATCCATGCAGCACCTATTGCTGCAATACCTGAAGCGTCTTCCTTTGACGATTCGACGATGAAGAGTGAAGCTAGAGCCAGGAAGGAATCCGTTTCATTAACATCCAAAAAATCAAAATTCAATAAAGAAGAAGTGGTTTCTGGAGAATTGGCGAAATCGGTAATCCGGAAAAGTGAAGGCACAAAGGTGGGACATAAAAGTAACCGGAATTTATCAAATGCTTCTGATTTCGAAATGAACAAAGGTGGAATAGCTGTTAATTATCCGGATAACGTTACTTTAGATGCGAACGAAGAAAGAGAAGGTCTGGTGGAAGTTACCCTACGTGCTCCCACTCCGCCAACCACCTCCAGAATCCGATCGCGTAATTTGGCTTCTCGCAGTGTTGTGTTATCTAAAACTGCCGTCGAAACACCGAAACATATTAAGCGACGTTTCTTAGGTTGTGCAAAATATCAGGAGGTTAGTGGTAGCGATCGGAAAGATTATCATCGGGAATATGTCAATTTACCGTCAGGAAGCAATAATTTAAATGAAAGAGAAGAGGAACGAACGGCTGAACAAAAGGCTCAGAATACGGTTACAGCTGTTACAGCTGCTTTTTCAACCCTAACACTCGAACCACAGCAAACTGAGCACGAACGAGAAGCTGTTGCTGAACAAGCAAACAATGCAGGTACTATAACTGTTGTTGGAGCAAGAGGTGCAGAAGCAGTTAAAGCAACAGGTGAAGTTACGATAAAAGATGGTGTGGATGAAACAGAGAAGCCGATTGTACCAGTATCAAAGCAAACGCCACATGATAATAATAATAGCATCAATATTGGTGGTGATAGTGGACAGCGAAAATCCCGAAAAGCAGCACCACAACCTACCATAAGTACCCTGATACCACCACCATCCACCCGAAAACCAAAACCACCACCCAAATTATTTTCACGTAATTCCTTGCTTGCAACTCTTCAACTACCACCATCTGTTAGTGCAAAAGTGGATCGAATTATTGCAAATGCTGATCGGAAAGAAAAAGAACGATGTTCCAATCATGCTGCTGTCAATTCGGTATCGTTTTCCCTTGATGCAAAGATATAACCTTTGGTGGGTCAATATGCATCAGCCCTCTAATAAACTTTAGAACATCCACAGTGCGAATTTCCGATATATATTCGCTTTCTTCAAAAAAATATCCGCTGCCTGTTGACAATGTTTCAGAAGGTGTCTGACGTTCACGATTGAAAACCATTTCTTAAAACGTTTGTCAAGTAAGTGTAGAAGTCCAAGGTCTAGAGAGAGTGTAGAAGTTTACGAAAACCATTTCTTAAAATGTTTGTCAAGTAAGTGTAGAAGTCCAAGGTCTAGAGAGAGTGTAGAAGTTTACGAAAACCATTTCTTAAAATGTTTGTCAAGTAAGTGTAG